ATAAGGGACCAAAGTGGACCCCGAGCTAAAGTTAAAGGACCAAAAAGGTTATTTTGCCATAAAGAAAATATTGAAAAATTTTTAAAAATATTTTTTTAAATAAAAAATATTTTCCGAAAAAAAAAAAAGATTTTTTATTTTTGAACATAAACATTTTTTCTTAAAGATAGTTCAAACAAACAATCAATAAAAATTAAATTTCAAAGGAAAGACTTATGCCCAACTAACAACAACAAAGACTTCAAAGGAAAAATAGTTCAAACAACCAATCAATAAAAAATAGATTTCTATGTCACTCACCAAAAATGGTCTCCATTTCCTTCTTTGATATAGAATCCACCAACCAACAGATTTAGATGAACCTTTTTCAACAATTTCCTTGATGTCGCGCTAGGTGGAGTGATACTAACGACATAACCAAGCTCCTTGAAGAAAGCCACTAGTTGTCTTTTCAAGTATAAGTCTTTATCAAATAGGTTCTCCTCCTTGTAAACATAATATCCAACCTCTATCAAAAAATGACTCTAGATCCAGAACTTACAAAACAGATCTGTGGACAGAGGTGGAGGCCCAAGTTCTATTTTACAGATCTTCACGTGAGCTTCTTTAGTAAGAGGGGTAATAAAAAAGAAGCGGTCCTTGAAATGCTTCAAACTTTCAGGATAGTTATCGAAGAATATGGAGTTTTGTCTCAAAGAAAGCATAAATGGGTTGTGTGCATGATTTGGACAATTTTGATTTTTTTAAAGAGACAGAATAACAACGTCACGATCGACTTACCCCTTATACTTACACCAATAATCTTGTCTTAATCTATCTCTCCCGATGTCAATCCTAAGAATTTTGGAGGTAACTCCCAAACTCTTCATGTCAAACTCCTTATCAAGTTTAGCCTCCACCTTCATAACATCTTCAACACTGTTGCTTTCTATGAGGATGTCATCCACATAAAGCAACAAAATAACAAGTGAATTTTCAGGTTGACATCTGAAGTAAACATAGTGGTCGAACTAGCTCCTAGTGAAACATATGTATGCCATGAACTTGTTGAATCTCCTATTCCATTGTTGAGGATATTGTTTCAGGCCATATAACTACCTATTCAACTTGCACACATAATATTCCTTTCCCTTTTCTACATACTTTTTAGGTTGCCTCATTAGAATTGTTTCATCTAGATCACCATACAAGAAGGTTATCTTCACACCTATCTGTTTAAGTTCTAGGTAGAAATTTGCTACCATGGATAATAACATTCTAATAGATTTGTGCCTTACAATAGGTGATAACACATCATTGAAGTCGACACGTTCTTTCTGAGTAAACCCCTAGACACCAAACTTTCTTAAATCGCTTCAACATCACTAATTCGATCCCCTTCTTAACCATGAAAATCCACTTACAACTGACTAACCTGACCCCTGCAGGTTTCTTGATCATCTCTCAAGTGTTATTATTAGGAATAAATTTCATCTCATCATCCATGGCTTTCAGCCATTCAGTCTTGTCTTGACTCTTCATATCTTCCTTATAGTCTCTAGGTTCTTCATCTAGAGCATCACTCGCAGAGATTAAGGCATAAGTCATGAGATATGCACAACCAAGTCTCTGAGGTGGATTGATAACTCTTCTCAACCTGTCTCTTGCCAGCAGTTAGTCATTACCAATCTCTTCATCTTCATGAGCAACTTGCTCTTCTTGTTCGACTTCATCTGGGTTATGCAATTCAGCATCACCATGTTCCACCTCAATAGGATTCTCTTCCTGTTCTAGCTCTTCTTTAGATATCTTAGTACTTTGAAAAACGTCATCAATTTTCTTGAAATCCATCTTAACTTTATTGAAAACTACATATTGACTTGTAATACACATCCTATGACCTGGATCTAGGCACCACAGTCTATAAGCTTTGACTCCTTTAGGGTATCCAAGAAACATACATCTCAGAGCTCTAGGTTCGACCTTGTCTTGCCTAATATGAGCATAGGTGGATGTTCCGACCAGACTTCTTTAGGTGTCTTCATTCCCAGGGTATTCGAGGGACACCTATTTATCAGGTATGTTTCAGTCATAACAGCTTCTTCCCAAAACACCTTTTTTAATCTCGCACTAACCAACATGCATCTAACCCTTTATAGAACAGTTCGATTAAACCTTTCAGCCAGAACCATTTTATTAGGGAGTACCTGCAGTAGTTATATGCCTTACAATACCAGATAGAGCACAATGGCTGTCGAAATCCTCATTGCAAAATTCAAGACCATTGTCGATCCTCATCCTCTTGACATTCCTGCCAGTTTGATTTTCGACTAGAGTTTTCCAACTTTTGAAATTTTCAAAAGTTTCATCCTTAGTCTTCTGGATGAATACCCATAATTTTCTGAAATAATCATCAACTATGGATAGGAAATACTTTTCATCCGATTGTGAAGGATTTCTTGCAGGTCCTCAAAGATCAGCATGAATATAATCAAGGGAACCATGTGTTCTTTGGTTACCTTTGTTAAACTCCAGCCTACTGGATTTACCAAATACACGAGGTTCACAAAACTCCAGTTTTTCGACCTTGTCACCATATAACATATTTTTTTCCGACAATTTGACCAGGTATCTTTCACTGATATGGATAAGTCTCTTGTGCCATAACCCAATCTTCGACATAAGTTTTATGGATGCCACATCTACTGAACCACTTACAACCTCAGCCTCAAGCGTATACAAGCCTTGTTTCTTTACGTCTCTCAAGACTTCTTTCGACCCCTTCATTATATTTAGGATACTTTGCTCTCCTATGAACACATATCCTTTTTTGTCAAATTCACCAAGAGAAATCAAATTTCTCTTTAGATCAAGTACATACCTAACATCAGTCAATAGCCTTATTGACTCATCATGGAGCTTGAATCTCATAGATTTGATTCCTGCAATCTTGCATGTTTTGTTATTTCCCAGCAACACTGATCCACCATTTTGATCACATAATTCCTCAAACACTTCCTTGTTTGGAGTCATGTATCAAGTACAACCTGAATCCATAATCCACTCCTTGCTAGAGTCGCTGTTTGAAACCACCAGGATATTAGATGATTCATAATCATCTTGCACAATGGTTGCATTATCATTATCCTTTCCACCATGATTATTCGCTCGATCAAGGCACACCTTTCTTGTATAACCATTCTTCTTACAATGATAACACCTAATTGCAGGAGTATTATCACCATAAGAATTCTATAGAACCTTACCATTCTTCTTCTCAAATCTACCATCTTTCTTCAAGAATTTTCCTTTTATGGATAATCATTCGCCAACAAAAGATGGTTTATGCTCTTTTATTTAATTCAGGTCCTTAGAGTACAAGGCTGATTGAACTTCTTCAAAGGTCAACGAATCTCTTCCATACAAGAGAGTGTTTTTGAAGTGAGCACGAGACTTAGGTAAAGCACACAACAAAAACAATGGTTGATCTTCATCATCAATCTTGACCACGATATTTTCAAGATCAAGAATCAACTTGTTGAACATATTTATCTTCACTCACCTTGAACGAATACAAAGCTTGCTTCAAGTAGAGACGATTGTCAGACAATCTCGTCATATACAGACCTTCCAGTTTCATCCACACACGCGCTGCCGTATGCTTCTTCAAGACCTGTTAGAGAACCTTATCACCAAGGCTCAATGTAATTGCACTGTAGGCTTTCTCGATCACCGTTGTCTTCTCCTTCTCCATTAGGATAATATCCATCTTCTCTGATCCTTTCAACGCTTCTATCAAATCCTGTTGAACTAGTAGGGCTTGCATCTTCAAGCGCTACAAGCCAAAATCATTCACACCGGTGAATTTCTCATTCTCATACTTTGTTGACGACATCTTCTTCTCCGCGCTCACCACACCAGTTTGTTGTGAATCAATATCGTTAAGAATAAACCAAATATGAAAAAGATTGAGTTTCTTGAACAAACACAAGAAACCCTATTAGGTTTTACGAAATAGAGACAATAAGGAAAAAGAAGGATCAGGATTGATTATAACTGTTTTACTATTCACTTTCTCTATTAGAATTCAAAGATTACAAGTGAATATCAACAACCGAAAAACCCTCTCACAACAATTTGAGAGAAACAATATATTTATAGACTACTAAGTTAACTTAAGTGATAAGCTAACTTAAACAATTAGTCCAACAGGCTGTCATAATTCAACTTTATAACTTAAACAACAAGCTAACATATTTTGACAAGCTAACTACGACATAAACATGCAAGAACAAATTTCGACTACGACATACATATATCCAACTTCAACAAAGTTTGCTACAACACTAGCTTATAACTCATAAGCTACAATATATATATATATATATATATATATATATATATATATATATATATATATATATATATATATATATATATATATATATATATATATATATATATATATATATATATATATATATATATATATATATATATATATATATATATATATTACAAAAGTCAAATTATTATCAATGTGTATTGGAATGGAGAAATCCTTCACAAGATAGCAAGTCACATTTTAAATCTTTACAGAAAAATCTATCCACATTTGTGTCAGGGTCAACCTCGAAAACAATTGCTTCAAATGGGGAGGCATGTGAAAAAAAGATTGGGATCCTAACTATAACTTGATAAATTACAATGTATATTCCATAGTTTTTCCCACAAGTTGCATTTCTATCTGCATTTTTTAAAGGTGTACTTCCACCGTAAACATGGCCCTTTAACTCAACCTAACGTGGAAAAACGTCTTTGGTTTTCTCATTTGCATGTGACACACAGAAATATTCAATCCCTTATTATAATATCTATAGTAACAAAATAACTTTTCATTATATTATTGCGAAATGCAAACTTCCAAACTCACAATCCTTCTATAAATTGGAAACATGCAACCTCTTCAAACCAAGTTCATCAGCCTCATTATATTACATTCAACCGACACCATCATCACCATGGATCAAAAGAAATCTAACAAAATAAGAGAAATTGTTAGACTTCAACAGATCCTTAAGAAATGGCGAAGAATCGCAAACTCGTCAAAAACCACAAACAACAGCCTCACTAGAAGCAAAAGCATGAAGTTTCTGAAAAGAACACTTTCTCTATCAGAACGTGAAGGAGCAACAACAACAACAACAACAACATGGTCAAACAACGGTTCTGTTCCAAAAGGTTATTTAGCAGTTTGTGTTGGAGAAGAGCTCAAGAGGTTCATCATACCAACTGAGTATTTGAGTCATCAAGGTTTTATGATTCTGTTGAGAGAAGCTGAAGAAGAATTTGGGTTTCAACAAAGTGGTGTTTTGAGATTTCCATGTGAAGTTTGTGTGTTTGAGAGTGTTGTGAAGATGGTTGAAGATGGAAAGAATAACGAGAAATTGTGTAATCAAGAATGTAGATCGGTAAGCATTGAAGAAATGATGGGTTATTGTTCTTTGGAAAATCAACTTGCTTGTTCTCATCATCCTCAAAGTCCATTGTGTAGATAGTTTGATTAATATTGTTTCATGTTGCAAATTTTTATATATCTTATTTCTCTTTTTTTGTTCTTCCAAGAAAAAGTTAATGTATGACAGAAAGATAGAGAATCCATTTGGACTTTCATTCTCAATCTTTTCTTCTAGGGCTTTATTCCATTCCTCTCATTACAATTACATGTTTTATTTTTATCTTTTTATTTGATTTTTTTAAAATTTTAATGTAATATTTACTTATTATACTTATTTAATATAAAGAAAAAACAGATAAAATAAAATAAGAAAAAAAATAAAAAACTGTTATAAAAATAACAGTAATAAGATAAAATAACATAAAAAAAAATTGTCATCTATTTAGATCTCACAAAGTTTAAAAGATTAATTTTTATAATTGTGCATAAAAAAATATTTAATTTATATTAACAAAAATGTTTAAATCAAATTAATATATTCACCATGTAAAAACAATAAATAATTAAGAATATTATATCAAAAAGGTAAATAATAATTTTTGAATATAAGAAGTTTATTGATTGTATTAGTATGTGTAGAAAAAAATAAAAAATAAATGTATATAGTAGTATTAGTATAAATAATTTGTATCTTATAGTTAAAATGTTTCCTCTAAATAATGAATTTATAACTAAAGATGAAAATCGAAAAAATGTTGAAATTATTTAATGTCAGAACTTATTTTTAACTGAATTGATTTATCTAATAAACTAAACTTATTACTAGTGATAAAAAAAACTCATAAGTTATATCAATTAATTTTAATTATATAGATTTTCTTATAACAAGAAAAGTAGTTATTTTCAATTGCATTTTCCAAGTCTAACAGAAAAAACTGCATTTCCCAAATAGAAAGCATGCTAAATCTGTTGGCTAAGAGAATGTGTAAATTGTGATATTTTCCAATGAGAAAGTCCCTGGTTTTGAATTAAATAAAAAATCCCTGGTTTGTCCTTTTTGTGAAAATTTACAATTGATTATTTTGAGAAAATTAAATAATTTTTTTACATTTTATAAGCAATGTGAAGTATTCTTTTTCTTGATAAAGATGAAGTTTTTATATTAATTAATACTAATTTATGATATAGAATAATATGTACTTGTGATCACTATCACTAGTGTTTAGTTGTTGTAATGTGAACATGGCATGTGAGTGATTAATGAAACTGAACATTACCCTCCCTTGTTTTGTAGGTTAAGTCCATATGGGGTTGGTTTATTTTAATATGTTGTGATTAGGACTAAGATCTTAAGTAAAATAATTGATTATTAAAGTGAGTTAAATAGGTTGTGTGACATGTGTATGGACTATGGTTTCCAATGCAAACTGCCCTAACAGTCTAGTAGTCGTACAATACAATTGTACCATTCAAACCTTGTTTTATTTTATTGCCTTGGACTTGTTATTTTAACTTATCAAATAGTTCTCTTTAACAAAGTCACATTTTTAGTACTTCCAAGAGAACCATGTGATGGCATGGTGTCGGTTGAATTAGTGTCTAGACTTTGAGTTCATAGATTCAATTAGTTTATTTGTACTTCATTTTGCAAGTGGTTATAGCTATCATCATCCAAAATATGTAATCTCATATTTAGTGTAAGTGAGATATATTATCATTTTACTAAAAATGAATTTAGAGATGCATATTCGTAATAATCATATACGCACTTCATCTAGTTGTAAGTGAATTATTAGTAGTGGCGTAACACAAGTGTTATGGAAATGGTACAATAACATTAAAGGTGCAATTATATTATCGTAAACAACATGCAACTAGTTTTCATCTGTCTGATCGTCTAAAGATAACCTTCAGCTAACTTTGAGTACAGGTAGACCAAACAATTAATCCTTAGTTGTACTCATGAACGCGCTTAAAGTGAATGAAGTATCTAAGGTAAACCACGTCAATGTAATAGGAACTTTTGCCCACAAATATGGACGTGTCAAATAAGTACATGAGGTATGGTTTCAATGCACATGCTCTATGATGCATAACCTATACACCATCACTATTAGTCTTCACTATTGCAGCCAAGTGGTGTACATATAAATTCTCTAGGAATGTAATTCTAACATGACACCCTTTTGTGTCTTCCAACTCCTTTAGAGCATCCTTTGGGTCAGTTCCTAAATCAGTCACCATTATATCCATTGCATCAGGTATGGTCATCCTGGAGTGGTATAATAATCTTTCCCTGATTGAAAGATGTAGCAGAGAAGACACAACATTTGTGTGATGGAAATCTCACCATTCAGAAGATGAAAAGATGACGTCTTTGAGTGTCATCTCTCAATGAAAGCTAATAGCATACCATGGTTAATAATAGTATAAGCAGTCATGGATAAATCTCATAGCCCAAATAACTGCATGGGATCATGAATTCATTGCTCCTTAGACTGTTGCAACATCGCAATATTCCTACCACGGTTTATGCATTACAAAGCATCGTGGTACTACAAAAAATACACCCTCATTAGAAAATTCAAATATTATAACACATATGTTTCAAATAATAAATACAAATAAATTTTACCGTTCCATCCCACACATGGCTAGCAACATGATCTACATAGAGAGGTAGCACTGAAGTGTCAAAAGGCTTTCTCCAAATTCCTCAAGAATGGAAGCATCGACAATAAGTGCATTAACTTGGACTGGTGGGCCTTCCGAGGCAACAACAGATGATACCTTCCTATGGTAATATAAAGACATAGACACTTGGACCCTAGAAGTTGACGCTTCCTCATCAAATGAACAAGCACCAGTCGATGGTTGCGAGGGTCGAGCTCTTTCACTGTAAACAAATGCATGTTGGAATACTCTATTGTGCATCAATCATTCTTGGTTGTTAGCCATGTTACTTATAATTAAACCAAACAAATGAGACAAAGTACATAAAATCAAACCCAGACAAAAGACATTCAAAATTAAACCAAATAATGTAGACATGCATAGTATGGAAGTGCACTCCCGTATTCCTAGAAAATCAAATTCTAAAAAACTACGGAAGTGAACTTTCGTAGTTTTCTGCAACTCAGAAAACACAATAATGACAGAATGCATGGAAATTAAAATGAGATAAAACACATTTCTTAGTAAAGTATATAACAATGAGTGTAACTACCTAGACATTGATTTCTTACATAAATTAATGTTCCTATTTTCTAATGCATGTAAAAAAAAAAAGAACTTGGATTGAAACACTTACCAAATGTGTAGTAGATGTTGAATAACTTGGATTAAATGAATGTTAATACGTAATTGATAACCCATTTGGATTGAATGGAATAGAAAATGCACTTGAATTGAGAAGCTTGAGAAGTGTGAGGGAGTTTTTGTTGGAAATGAGGAATGGGGAAGATTTGGCACATATTTGAGTGGAAATGAGAAAATCCACTTGGTATATTTTCTTTTTTTGTTACGGAGATGTATCTCTGAACTGATTTATGGAAAAATGAGGGTGTGTCTCACTTACGAATGAATGGGGTGTGGATTGGGGTGCGCCCGAAAATGTATCTTCGATATATATATATATATATATATATATATATATATATATATATATATATATATATATATATATATGTATTTTTTGATTTTCACAAGGGTGTGCGAGTGTCACATCGCTGCAAAAAAGGGGCGACGAAAAGACAGAAGAGTCGCCACCGAACGTTATTTATCCCAAAGAAAAGGAAATGAAACAATAGAAGAAAACCTAAGAGAAAGGGAAAGACAAGGTCATCGCAACCAAATCTAGGGTTTGGGAGTCGGTTACGCAAGGGGAAGGTATGAGCAACCCTCACGTCCGTTGTACTCAACGGGATCTACACTTGTTGTCTAATCTATGGGTGAAAAACTATCTAAAGGCTACTGGTAAACGGGGGTAAAGAGAAAGAACTGACTCGATAGTACATCGCCGCCCTATTCCTACGTATTCCCTCGTGCAATGGGAAAGTCAGAGTCAATGTAGTTCGGGAAACTACGGGTGATGGGGGAAAGTTTGCTCGCCAAGACATCGTTGTTTTGTGCCTATGTATCCTCATCTTGTATGAGAAATCAGAGCAAATGTAGTTCGGGCAACTAGACCACTGGTTGGTTAAGTGTTTTTTATGAGCGGCGTTAAGTTTCCATTCCAGCAGTTAGGGTCGATGCCTGTTTGCGGTAGAACGGAAAGGTAGCGTACTCTTTTCTGAAAATGGTTTGAAGAACAATCTCGAAGGATAAGAATGTTTAAATTTGGTTTGAGAGTTTTAAAGAAGTGGATTGAGTTAGTTTGAGACTCATGTCGCACTAAAGACTATGACATGGGAGCGAATGTGTCGCATATCGCCCAAATGGAATACACTAAACACTCTAGACAGTGTGAAAGGAGGCCTCCCACCTATCATTCCTCAAGTACTTAAGGCTCGTAGTGTACAACAAGTGTTAACCTTTATTAAGTGTCTTAAAGAGTTATAAGATGAGAAGAGAAGACACAAGACTCCAAGGGAAACTGATCAACCCTAATGTTATCATGCAATGTGGCCCTAAGATTGGGATTGAGAAGAGAACTACCTAATGTTATCATGCAAAGGATTGAAAGGCTAATGTCTCTCCTACTCCCATCTTAAACAGAGGGACTAGGAATCCTAAGGGATCATAGCCAAAGAGCACAAGTAAACACATAGCAATTCAGTCACAAATGAAAAGAGATGAGTGACTTCAACAAGTCAATGCAAGATGAAATGCAAACATGGAATGCAAACACAAATGCAAGTATGAGATGATGCAACAAGACTCAAAGAAAAAAGGACTCAAACACAACAAATGACTTGAACAAGTCAAGAAGGAAGAGATGAAGTGGGAGAAGTAAACTCCTACAACCATCTACCATCAATCATCACAAAAGAAGAATGCTAAGCATAAAGTAAAAACAAAGAAGCATGATCAAAGAAATGATGGGAGAAAGAGGATAGGGCAACAACCACATTAAGGTTATCTAAACCAAGCATTTACTTT